GTATGGAATACCTCTTTGGTCAGTTCGGGTCAGGTGTCCTGTCTCTGCTTCCTCCCAGCTTCCCTTCCTCCCTGGCAGAGCATGAGGCTCACAAAGTCCTTGGCCAAACCAAAACATCGCTATCAGCTCTGTTCGCAGGCCAAAAGTCAAAACACTGCACTGCACCAGCTACCAAGAAGGAGAAACATGACTGCTACTGCTGAACCCAGGACAGTAGTGAACTCTTATCAAAAGCTAAGTTTATGTATTATCTATGTGTCAATACAAATATACACCCATGTGCATTTGTATTTAATGAGATCCTGAACATGTTTGTGGAAAAATCTCCATGCCTGTATTTGCAGTGTCATCGTATTTTCCTTTTCAGTTCTAATAATCTGGATTCCTTTGTGGGTGGTCAGTATCTGCAGCTGTGACTTCACCTTTCAGTTGGCTTCAGTCTTCTATGTTGGATCAAGCTTGTTCATTGCCCAGTCCTTCCTCTCCCTTGTTCTCTGATGATGCGTTGGGCTAAAACTGGTACAGTCTCTGCCGTCCCAGAGGGGCCTCCAGAACATTACAGGTGGCCATTCTGGGGCAGGATAGAGAAGGCTGATGAGTTCAAATCATGTGCTGCTTCTTCATTACCCTCCACCAAGCAAATTCAGCACAGCAGACCTTCACATTGTATCTTTTGAATTATTTTTCTTTTTCCTTCTTTTTTTCTTCCTATTTAGGCTGTACCCTTGGCTTAGTCATTGAATAGTGCTTTAAATATTAGGCACATAGCCTTGTGTTACAGCAGAGCTTTGCATGAACTCTGCTGCTTTGGAACTGGGAGAACTGTCTGCTTTCTCTCCCAGATAGCAATGTTTCCCCTCAGTATAAATACGTTAATTGCAGTCTCTCTTGGTTTGCACTTGAGTTGTGTCCCAGGCACTAGCAGGCCAGTGTGTGCAAGCCAGCGCACACATTATACAAATAGGAGTGTCAAATGTGAGAAGTCACATCTGTGGAAGATTTTGCTATCTCAGTCTATTGTTGTCCTTCCAAGTGTTGTGTTTTGTACTTACCCTGCCTCTTTTAGAATACCGCTGAAGGTGCATTTTGCTTTTCAATAAGAAGTAATTTTCTTAGTAATGAACATGCAAGATCCTTTATTCAAACTAACATCTTCACCCAATTCAGAGCTGGAGAGCCTTCCTTGCAGTTACTTTTACATAAGAATATTGTTATAGAAGGTGACTGTGTTTCCTGCCATGCAATGATGTATGTAAGGGCAAGGCAGGCAATGTGTTTGTTCGAGACACACAGAAAGATCAATGAAATCTCTTTGTGTAATAAAATAACTGGAGACAGTGGGAGAGATTAACAGGCAGTAGACTCCAAGGTGGGGCCTGAGCAAGGCTAAAGCATGTGGTCTGGGAGCATTTGAGAATTCAGAGAGCCACAGATGCATGTGTGTGTGTGCATGGAAGGGTGTGAGAGTGAGAGAAATGTCAGGAATGATGCTGATGGAGCAAGCGCAGAGTTCACTGGGTGAGGAAGCCTGCTAGGGGTTTTTGTTTTGTTGGTGGAAACGGGACCATGTGTATCTTTTTGTGAGCCAGCAGGACTGTACCTGCATAACACCTTCACTGATACAATCTCTTTTTTTTCCTAATAGGAAAATAGATAGGCCGCCAATTCTGGAATATTGTTTAGACAGAGTAAGCAGGCAGGAAAAATGATGGCTTTTTCTTTGTTTTTATTATTATTTCAGAGCTGCAACCGGAAAGAAGCAGATATCACTGTTAAACTGGGTTTATTTTGTTTTTATTATTATTTCAGAGCTGTAACCAGAAAGAAGCATATATCGCTCTTAAGCTGGGTTATGGCTGTATAGGTGGGAATGTGTGTGCTTTAGTGTTCATGACACTTACAGTGAGGAACTGATAGAACAAGCAAACTCTGATATATGTCTGAAATAATATTGACATTTTTGTATATTTACTCCATTACTCCACGCAAAGTTATGAGGATGAGCAGTACTTCAGGAAAAGAGGGCTTCTATTGGTTATTCAGTCCAGGACTGACCTTGCAAAATTTCGTACTTAGGCTTGTTGCCTTCAATTTTTCAGTGATTGAAAGTTGAAGAAATCTATATTAGCCATGGAGCTTGATGGTAAGATGACCAAATGCGCTTAATTAGTTTCTGTTATAATAAGCTAGACCATTAGCCTGCAGTGCTATCTAGCCTCTTCATGCTTTGGAGAGCAGGAAGTAGGGTATGAATATTTAGGAAGATGAGAAGTACTTTGAAAACATTCATGTAAATGATCTTTTCCCCCTCTTGTTTCAAGATACAATAATTCAGTCTTATCAGAAGATTTTCATCAGCTGTCTGAAAATCGTTGCCCTGCTATTAACCAGTGGGGTGGCAGGAGAGAGGAAAAATAGAGATTATTTTTCTTCAAAATGTTAGCTCCTTGTTCAGTGCCAATATTACTCATAATTTGTAAGGTCTGAGCTTGGTAAGGAAGCAGCCAAGCTGGTGCATGACTATTAATTATTTTAACAGTCTGATTCATCTCAAACTGATTCAGAGACTATTGATAGAAGTCCTATCAGGAGTTGCCATCTCTGTGGTGAAATTAGTGACATACTACTAGTGCTTTCTGGCATTTTATAGCATTCATGAGTTAAAAGTCTGTGGGGAAATGAATGCAGCAAATGGAGTTCTGCTGGGATGCTGATATTAACATCTCTACTACCTGAAGAAGTCATGCAAAACTGGCTTCTGTCCATGGGTGTTTTCCAGGGCAGGCTGCTGAAGGGAAAAACAGCCCTTTGAAAGGGGAACCAAGGCTCTGCTGCCTACAATGCCCATGAGTGCCTTGTGGAGCCAGGACTGCTGCTCTCCCATTCCTCTTTCTTCCCTGATTCTTCACTGGGTGTTGGTGTATTTGGTACCACAGGATAGCCATTTGACTGTGTTTAATGGGGAGCTGTTGTCCTGGAATTGGAGGAAGAGACTGAGACATTAGCAAGGGTGCAGTGTGGGAACAGCATCCCAAAATCAGGTTGGATTCAGGAGGTTAGTGAAGGGTAAGAAACACGTCCTTACATGTGTGCTTCACCAGCTTTGCAAGAGGCCTTTGTACCTCTTGCAGTCTTTCTGCCCTACCTGGCCTTGAACTTTCTCCATCACTGTTGCAAGACAGAATTGTTTTTTCCTCACCCTTTGAGTGTCTGGGTTCACATTTTTTGCTTGCTGTTCAGATGATGATTTGACTTCTGTGTTACAGGATTGTTCATAAGTGATGGAGAAAATAAATTTAGATAATCTGCTTCTGACCAATACACTTCCAAGACATCTGTGGTAGCTTCTGCCTTCCTCAATGACAAATGTATTTAATCTGAAGCTTTGGGTTTCGGTAGCTCTGCAGAAACAAACACAGCTTTTTGCTTTGGCACTGTTAACCAGCATCTTCCTGCATTTAGACTTGAAAGAGATTAGCACATAGGTCCTTTGTGAAAGGCTGTAAATACTGACTAAAGCTGCAGCTGCTCTTATAGTGTCAACAAAAATAGGTGGAAAATGGGAAATGTGCACTGCTTCAGGCTGCCTTTGTGCAATGAGTACTTTCAATTCATTTGCCATTGCCAAGTAAGACCTCAAACTAAGCTCAGGGAATGTGAGTGGGATGGGACACTGTCACTGGTTTCTTTGGCATGCATTTCAGTTTACATTATAGCAGTATTCAAAAACATTGGTAGCCAGATTATGCCATGTGTGTGTACCACAGCAGGGTTATGAAAATTTGGGGGTGGGAGGAATGAGGGGAAAAATATAGAGTTGCATCTCCAAATCCTGATAGATATTTTTTCTTTACCTGCAGATGTTTCTTCACTATTTGATCTTTCTATATATGAACAATTTTGTTTGAGAAAGCACTACAGTGGGTTTTGGCTTGAATTAAGAATTGTCCGAGTAGCGTACACATGTCTAATGGTTAGCCACAGCCTGTTTGCTCATACAGATTATGTGCAGGGGCCTGTTAGAGCCCTCCAGGTATATCTTACAGAATATATTGGGTTAAACAAAACCCGTCACTAAACCTTGTAAAGCTGTAAAATGCTATCTGCATTCAGAGGTCAAACAAATCAACTTTCAGAGTCTAACGCTGAAGCTCTTTTTGCTCAGAGCAAATGAGCTGCCCACCCTCTGTATCTAATCAAACAAGAGACAAGCTTCTCCCGGGGAGTTAGAGAGCTACCATATTTGCTTAGGCATAAATGGATATCTCACTCTTTAAAATAACAGAGATTTTTGAGTGACAGAGTAAAATGAATCAAGTGAAACTGGCATTGTAATACCTATATGTGGTGCTGGTCAGTAGAGCACAGTAGCCTTGAAACTATCAGAAGGCACTTGTGGATATACCTGTCATCTGATGTGGTGTTTGGTGTGTTTATTTCAGAAACTAAAAGGTTCCTTGTGTTGTCTGGATTCTATAATAGCCCTGGAGAATCACAGCATGCTATTGTATCTGCTGGCTAATCATCCAACATGCAGGTAAAACAGCAAATAAATAAGAAAAGGGAATTAAGTTTTAGTATTCTGGAGGCGGGGGGGGGGGGAGCCCAACAACAACTCCGAAAAACAATCCACCAACCAACCACAGTGATTTGTAAATAAGTTAATACAACCAAAGTAAAGATGGTAGAGCACTTGTAGTTACTAACTACTGTTACCAAGCTGTAAGCCTAGCTAGTTGTATTTTACCCTACCTTACACATACAATCAAAAATCTCAATGGAAAAGTTAAAAATTAGGACTAATTTTGAGACACCTTTCAATATTTTTGTGGTTTCTTTATTTCCTTTGTGTTCAGGTTCTATGAAAGGATTGCAAAGAAAGGCAGGGATAAGGGATAATAAAGGATACCTAAATTCTGTGAATAAGTTGGGATGCCTTTATGTATCTCTTTAATCAACATCCTTACCACTACCTTTGCTAACTTTTCTAGAAAGATATTGCTGCAGAATACGATACTCAGCTTGACTCAAAAGAGACACATAATTTCTGGGCATCTAATGGCTGGACTCTAACCAATAGGGATTTTGAAGGTGCTGAAGAAGTGCAGCTTAGTAGCTAGGGAACATGTCTAAGAGCAAGTACTGGAACTTCCATCTTTTCTGTGGATTGTCTTCCCCCGGTGTAAAATACATAAATTGCTTTGGGAATGGAGCCCAAGTCATCCTTTGTTGTGTGGTGGAAAGATGTAAGGTGCGTACATGAGCTATGTAATTTGAAGGTTTGGGTGCTTTCCTTGATGGGTGGACTTTAAATCTGCAGGACTAACAAAGCCCAGGTTTCAATCTAAGTACCTCCTCTGACAGTCCCGGAATAAGGCTACAAAGCTCCAGCACCTACCCAGGATGTGATTTATTGTTGTAAATGAAAGAAGGGCACTGCAACTCTTTACGTTCTTGAATACTCTTCACCATTCTCAGGGACCTGAAAGAAATACTATTTCTAGTTTTTAGAAGACTATTTTATACTTCCTTTAAAAAGGATAGTCTTGGCTGATGTACTCATAATGGAATAATAATGACAGCTTGACATGGGCAAAAACATTATATGTAATCCAAAATGAGAAGTTGTCAAAAAGTATAATGGACAGCCAGCAGTGATGTAGCTGATGTAGAGACCAGACCATTAAGTATCTTGAAGTTTAAACTGAGCAGCCCCACTGTGAAACATGCTTGAAAGCCCCTAGTAGATTGCTAAGGAGACTTTGAAAGTACATGAGTGTAAATTAAGAAAAAATGTTAATTTAAAGTACAACTTCTGAATAGTAACACAAGCAGACCCTCAGATACCACTCTCACCTCTAATACAACCATTAGTTCTTTTTTGTACTGCTGTTCTTTTGTTCTTCTCCCTGGTGAAATGTCACAGCACTGTTCACAGTGCCCAGCGCTGTCACTTTTGTGACTGGGACCTGGAGGAGGTGGCTGAAGCTCTCAGTTACCTCCTTGAAAAATGTACCAGGTAATTACTGAAGTCTGTACCTGATTCTTGGTTTTCTGACCCATGTTGGATGGTGGCATTATTTTCCTTTTAACCCTTTTTGCCTCTTTTTTAACGTAAGAAGACATGTAAGTCCACATTGTCTGCTTTAGACAGTGATCCTTTAAGATGCACACTTACTTATGCCATGAATAGTGAGTGTGGATGACCACAGTTAAACTGTATACATTAATCCCTTGGAAGGGAGTGCTAGTGATGTGAAGAATCTGAGAAAATCAGGCCTTGCAACAAACTGCTTAAATGTGAATTGAGGTGTTGTCCAACTTTAAGCATATGCATACGAAAAATGTGTTTCTGCTCTGTCCTAAAAGTAGCATAAGTGGTTTAAGGAAAAATTCAAAACAGATCTCAAAGTTCCAGCTGCTCTAGCAAGTAGTAAGAAGAATCTTTTCCTCTGTATTTGCTATTTATTTAAATTTTGATTCTTTTACAGGGCAAGACGTGGATTCTGGTGCCTATTGGCAGCGGGGCTGTCTGCAGGTTCATACTCGCACACCTGAAATAGAACAGTTCAGTTTCTTGGCTGGTATCAGTCTGAGCTGCTGATGAAACACTTCAACACAGCCCAAGGCAAGCCTTGTAAAGAGTTTATGGGATTGTTAAACAGCTTATATTAATGTCAGGACATTTGTATTCAGACTGATCCCTTCTATCTGGAGTTAGAATAAGTCGCCTAGAATAGAATGGGGTAGAAGAAGGAACTTTCAAAGGATCACCGATGAGGCTAAGTCACCACGTGGAGCAACTCCCTTCTATGAAGGGGAAGAAAAGGGAGCCTAGAGCAATGGTATTCATAATGTAGCTCTTGCAGTTACATTTCAAGTTGGGGGGAGTGAATCCAGGTCTTAATGTGCAAGCGACATTTGCTGTCTGTCCTACAGCAGAAGTCCTTTAAATAACAATTGCACATTTAGACTGGCTTTGATCTCTTAAAGCAAGAAGGTGAATTTAAAGACAAGCTTTCGGTTTAATTTTTTTTCCCTGCTTGTATCTCTAAAATTTAGAAGTGGAATTCTGCTCTTAATTTATAGCTTCCCCTCCCCACAGTTATTATTTCAGAAATGTTTACAGGACCAAGCATCTAAGACTGTGGCTGCCTGTCACCTCTCCCAGTCCTAGATATTTGTAGATATTTGTCTCTGGAGCATGGATCTTGTTTAAGTCTCTCAATTTATCTTGGTGAACTCTAGGCACAGCCGACATTGCAGTTAATTTAGCAAGTAACCATGTGGACAAGCGTGGAAAGAGCTTGTGTGCCACTTTTCCAATTACATCAGGTGGTCTAATATCAGCTATTCCCTCTCTTTCACGTCTCCTTAAAACATCACCATCACCAGGGCAAGACACGTGCCCAAAGTGACAGTCTCAGGATCTTTGACAGTTTGGTACAAGCCCTGTGTGATTCAGTAGAAGGTTTGTTTTATAAGTTAGGGCATAAGTAATGGCAACCCCTTGCAGAGGGAGCTTTTCATTGCTTCATGGTCTTTAAAATGCTGATGGGGCTCAGTCTGTTCTCTGAGCAGAAGCTGGCGTCTAGTAGTGGGGACGAGGAGGCACCTTTTCTGACCTGCACAAACTGCTCCTGCAGGCCCAGGCTGCTGAGCCAGATGGTTAATGGCACCTAACAGAGAAGTTGGAGTTGATGGGTTACAGGGTGGTTGGGGTGCTGGCCCCACCCGCTGTGCCATGTGTGGAATTGCCTAGCCCACCCTTGGACTTACTAGCCTGTTAGAAATTACTGTGCTGGAGTCTCTGCCCCATTGCATGCCATCATGGCCAGGCTTGTGCCATGGCTTTGCTCTTTCAAAATGCAAATGCATACTGTTAGGGCAAAGCAGTTCTGGGTCTCCTCAGGCACTGGCTGGAGGAAAAGTTTCATATCTGACTCTTCTGGGCTGACATTTAGCTATGCAGGATGTGGACTCGCTCTCCTTTCATGCTGCCTGCCTTCACCACAAATCACCCTACACACTGTGTAACAACTATTTACAAGGCTGCAGCTCTATGGTCTTGTCCTTCTGCTCCTGACAAAGGGAGGTGAGCCCTTCTCCCAGACAGGATGGTTCCCATGTGGATAACGACAGTATCGGGAAGGGCTGGGGCATGCTGGGCTTTGATGATGTAACGGACTCCCTGCAATTTTCGTTGAGATCTGGTTGGCTGTGAGCTGGCAGAAAGCCTTAGATACGCCTCCAACTCAGATGAGGTCATCCCTGCCTCTTTTGGGGGGAGTAGGGGGAGCTGCTTCAGAAAGTCTGTGGTGTCAGAATGCTTAAGGTCAACATGTGAATTCCTCCACCACTGTAAATTTCTGGGTGCAGGAGCCCTCTTCTTTCCCCTCTCAACTGCACCCTTTCTCAGCGCCACCACAGACTCTGCTTTCCCTTTAAAGAGAGAGGAGGAGCACAGGGAAGATGCATTTACCGCAGTGGATTTTGTAAATGACTCTCGCATCCAGGTCAGAGGGAAGTGTTTGCTGGCAAGGCATTGCAGAGCTGCCCGGACCTAACACGAGTGTAAACTAGCTCCAGGACAGAAGAAGCTCCAGACCCTGCCGCTGCCTGAAGTGAAACTACTCGCTCTGCCCAGTCGCTTCGTCCCTTCCCCGCCTTCCCACTGTGTGCCATGCAGAGATGCGTCCAGCCAGTAGAGGACGGGGTAGGTTTCACCGGCTGTCAGTAGGGGTTGCCTGGCTCGGGACGAGCTGATCCCGAAATAAGAACTGACCCTGGCTGAGAGCAGAACGCGCACAGCTGGGGGTCCCCTGCCCCGGCCCCGCGCCGTGCCTAGAATCAGCACCTGCTCCTCATCCTCCTCCCTCCGGTTCCGGCGCCGGGTAATCCCGCGTTATCTCCTGCGGAGAACTGCCCACTAACTTCGGCGCCGACGCCGGGTCTGCCGGCACGGTTGCGGCAGGATGGGGGTTGCAGCATCCCCCCTCTGCCCCGGGGGCAGCCAGCCCCCTCCTCTTCCTCCTCCCACCGCCGAGCCCGGCGCTGGAGCCCCTCTGGCACAGCCTCTTCGCCATGTCCTGCCAGGGGGGGAGAGCCCTCCCCGGAGCGCCTGAGCGCGGACCGAACCCCAGCACGGCGGACAGCTCCCGTCCACCGGCGCGACGAGCCCCAGCACCGCGGACAGCTCCCGGCAGGCCAGGGCGCGCTGCCGGCGGTCGGTCTGTCGAGAAGGGCCCTGCTCGGGAGCTGCTCCGTGCCTTAGCGCACAGGTTCATTGCGACCACCCACCTCTCTCACGGTGCCAGAAGAGGGCTTATCTTTGGGCTCAGTCTGTTTGTCTTCTGTGGATCGGGATTTACAAGTGTGGACGGTGCCTGGTTACAGTGGTATGTGAGTCTACAGACCCTGAGGTGCACTACAGAGTTAGAAAGAAACCTCGGATCTGTCGTGCTGTGGAGGGGTCAGAAAAACCCTATACAACCAGCAAAACCAGCCCAAGCCTTCCAGCCTCCCTGCAACCAACTTTACCCCCTCAACCACAAGAATCCCCTCCTTTCATCCTCCCTCCATGCTCCTTCCTTCAGAGACTGTAGGATGAGGCATTTCCTTCTATCTGGCTCAGGGTAAAAGCATACCCTGGGGGCAGCAACACACATCTGGCAGGGACTGAAAGGTTTTAATCCAGCCTCTACTGCAATCAACAATGGCAAATGAACCAGTGATTCTGAATGTTTATGACATGGTGAGTACGAAACAGTACTGATTTGGGGGTGGGGTGAGTGCTGTGTGGAACAGTGGGGTCGGGTGGGAGTCTGTGCTTGGAGGCAGGTGTTGTATGAAGAGGAGCCAAGCACAGATCCAAGAGAGGCTGATCCCTCCCTCTCCTTCCCCCCAAACTCCTCATCCAAGCATATCATGTTCTGGCTGTCAGAGATAATACTGACCCAGGCTTTTTTCTTTGAAACGTTTAGCATATTGGCACAGATTACAGGTAAAACTGTGCCTGATTTTCTGCAGGATCTCTCAGGTGCAGCACTGGGTGAGGGGAGGACTTTTTAATTTCCAGTGTCCCAGTTAAGGAAGAAGATTTGAACACCTCTCTGTTGGAGATAATTGTCCTTCAATTTTAAGTGAGCAAGGACTCCCAGGCTGTGGGGAAGGGGTCAGGATATCATCCAGGGAGGAGAAAGAACTGTCGAATTGCAATAACGACACCATTTCTAGGCTAATCATCTGCATCAGTTCCTCATAGGTATAAGATTGTAGTTAAGAATTTTCTCTGAAGGTTAATTGCAACAACAGGAGTAAGAAATTGTCTGAACTGGTGAAGTTTCAACACAGGGAGGGGCACAGGGATGTGCTGTTTGCCAATGTTTCCTGGAAAGTTCACAGTGTAGCAAGTGGCTTTCCTTGCCCTCCTCTTGCAAGGGCGGGATGTGACTGGGAATTATCTGTGCTAACACATCAGATCGAAATCCTAGCCTTGGCATAAGCCCCCAAAGAGAAGAAGGCTTGGCACAACATGTTTGCTTTCTGGTCCAACAGAAGCTTAGGAGAGGCATGGTGCACTTCCCCTCTCTTTTTTATGAACTAACAATTCAGTAATTTTCAGATCTTCCAAATATTTAGTGAACTTTACTGGGGAAAATACAGCCTTATGAGGCCCAGGTGCTGACTGAGCTCTAATTATCTAGCTCCAGACCTTTAAGACTATACATACATTTGCTTTTTTGTCATCAGGCAGTGACAACATTCAACAGGAAGCCCACAGAATAGTGTGGGTTTCCCTGCTGGGGGAATTCACAGAATAGACACCAAAGAGATTAGGAGTGGGTTGCTGTAAACGTCCAACACCTTCGTATTACAAAGATCAACTGATCTTTTTTTGACTAAAAAAATGGGTTGTTTTCTGAGGGAAGAGGGACTGGTAAGGGCTATTTAGGTAGGACTGTATCTGTATTGAAAGACAGTCTGAAAACCGCAACTACAGTGGCTTGAAGCTGTCTCTCCCAGAGCTATTATTGGTAAAATTGAGTAAGTTGGTATAAAATCCTTCCCTAGACTTTGGGCCTGAGTGTTTTAGGGTCAGCTGCTTGTCAGCCTGAACTGTGAAGTCTCCCAAGCTGTTCTTCAATCAACAGGTCTGGTAACCCAAGCAAGTGACAGCTAGTGCTTGGTAACAAGGGACAGGCATTGCAAATGCACACACAAGAGTTTCTCATTAATACTTTGAGGAAGATAAAGGGATTGTGTTGTCCTTTTGTTATGTCCACTGTTTTCCTTTCAATTTTTTTAGTTTTTTTTTTTTTCTGCAGCAAGTTGTGGTCTGAACTTTCCTTTCTCAGCCATTGTTGAGCTGTCCTGAATCAGTGAATGTTTTGCTACTGAGCTGAAGAGGTCCAAATACTGGATGGACATGGTTGTTGCCTTTTTTCGTGTGACTGACACCAAAGATGAATTCCAAAGTAATTATAGGAGAAGGGACTTGCTGTTTATGGTTACTGTGTTCAGAGATGGACACCCAGAATCAGTGTACTGAGATGAGGTCACCAGTTTAATTCAGACTGAGTAATTTTTGCTGCTTTGCAAACCATGAAAACCTAGTGTGAAGGTACTAGCTCTATGGGTTAACCGCTGAGTACATAGAAACCATTCTATTTTTATATAGCATCTGTTTGACTACCACTGAGTCACCTCTAGTTCAAGTCTTACATTATGTTTATTGAGGCTATATGCTTTTCCATTGCTGCTATGATTTTTAACACCACAGAGTTTGGAATGTAGCCATGCAAAATCTGCACTTTGTTATACTGTGGTGGGGAATTGCGGGGGAACTGGGAAATGAGCACATTTGCTTGAATGACTGTTGGAAAACGAGCCTCAATGGGGGGGGTGTGGGGTGTGGGTAGGAGGGTGGCTTGGGGAAAGACAGCTGGGGATAACAATGAACTGGATGTAAAGCTCTGCTTTCCTGACAAGGAACATGACCCCTTTATGGCATCTGGAAGCACTTACACTGCAGGAAAACTTACCCCTAGGGCAGAAGTTCAATTATGGGCTTTGTGCAGCTATGAAATACCTACTCTATGTAGTCTTGTGTATTCAAAGATTATAGCCATTTGTCCTTTTACCCAGTAGATATGTACCAGGCTTCTTTAGGAAAAAAGTGCTTCTGTTAATGAGGTGTTTTTCACAAATAGCTGAAGCAGATAATTTGTAGACTTAGTTTCTTCCGCATAAAACAATTCAGCAAAAATCACTGGGCATTCAGAATATCATCATCAAAAGCAATTTCCCTCACCCCCAGGTTGCAGGGTAATTATATCTTGTTTTATCTGTTACTAAAGAGCTTGTACACACATGAACACTGGCAAAAGAGACAGGGCAGGAGAACTTTGCTGCTCAATCAGGACATTTTAAAGAGTGAGTATGCAGGATACTGTACTCAGATTTAAGGTGTGTGAACACAGAATAATAATATGGATCAGGATTTGATCATAGATGAGCCTCTTTCCTAATCTGAATCCAGCTCTCACATGGACTTACTCTAAAACAAGAGCTGTTCGGAGACCTGCATGAACTAACTGGGTCTATAAAATCTATGACAGAGTTTGCTCTGATCAGTCAGTTATCACTTTGCTTTTAGAGGGATAAATCAAATTCTCCTTCATAACTTACAGTTCTAGTCCCTCCAGTCTGCCTTAATAGGCTATTTCTCATGGATCAGATCATACTTTAGGTCACAGGGCCGACTTCTTTCAGCCAGGATATTATACTGTTTCCTCATCGCTTTAAGTCCTTGTGGCTTACTTTGGAATAGTTGACTTAATCACTGTACATTAATAAATGTTGCCTACTTAAATCAGACAGAAGAGTAACTGCAATTATTGCCTAGGTTTAAATCTTTAACAAGCGAGCTAAACACATTCCACTAAAAATAGTTCTCTTGGCGGAGATTCAAGCTGGGGGCTCTCAAAATATTTTCAGCTTATTGCATGACACATTTATGCTATCAAATTAAAAGCAAAGATATTCATATCACTGCTGTCCCTCTTCTGTCACAGATATGGTTGTCCTGAATTTCCACTGTCTTTGCAACTGATAGCATTCAAAACTGTGCTTTCGATCTACTGGTATTTTGCTTACTCTTTATGCTGGGGAGAATGAGTCCCTGAGATGTGCTGCAGAGAAGAATGTGAGCCTTAGTCAACAGGGAGCCAGGGAGCAGTGTTACAGGGTCTGTTTGGATGAGAGGGGTGAGTCTCTTTCTCGTCCTTGTCCCACTGTTATTTCATTGATTCCACTGACATTTCTTGTCATCCTCTCTGAATTGAATGAGTGGGAAACAAGATTCAGGTCACCATAGATGCACTAACTCTGAGGTTTTTCCCTGTGACTTCTAACTTCAGAGAAGTAGCCAAAATGTAATTATTCATAATGGTCCTTCCATATTCTTTCAGTTTTTTATATAATTTATATAATTTGCCAGCTAAATGGCTGAAGGCCAATGGCTGATGGCAAAGAATGTCCCTGTAGGTCTCTGACTGGGGTCTCTCTTGCTTCACTGATCAGCAAGTGGGTCATGGTGTCATCAATTTGAATTCTCCATCACAGCAGTAAGTGGATCATCCAAGTGGCCCTGACAGAGAAACAAACACAGTAGCATTCTTGTCTCCACAGTAGTGATCTCCATCTCCATTTTGTGATCTTAGAGCATCTCACATCTCCATTTTGTGATCTTAGGGCAAGCAGCCTGTGTTGAAGTAGGGGTGGTACATTGGGTTGAGGATGTAAAAGTTTATAGACATGAATGTAGTTTCTAAGAGTTCCAGGACGTGAATCTCACTCCTGCTTTTTATTGATGCAGTGGAACAGAGCATCCTGGGAGGCTGCATGTGCACAGGAGGCAGCATTTCTGGGGAGGGAGAGAAGGAGGAAGGTGGTGTTACAAACGATAACAGTTTGTAATGACTTTTCTCCGTAGTTTCAGTTGTACCACCAAGAAACGGTGATCATGCTCTGTGTGGCCAACCAGCTTGTGGTTTCCCAGCATAAACTGATCAGAGATGACCACAGCCTGAGAGTGGCCTAGGTAGGGAGAGGAGCTCTAGTGAGGTTGTTTCCACCTGGCTTTATGAATGTCTGTCATCTTACAGTTGCTTCTACATACTGCTAGGTTCAGAGAGTGAAGGCTGGCAGGAGGTTACTGGGTCAAGATGAGCTAGATGAAAAGTTGTGGTGTGGGAGCCTGTATGTGTGATTCTGCAGGGATGGGGTTAAAACTGGGTTTTGTTTATGTACTCTGAGAAAAGGCTTGTGAGAGTCCCTGCATGAAGAGGGCATGTCAGCTATCTGTGAGGAAAGGCAGAAAGGGTCTGTATGGCCATAGAATAAATGCATAAAACTTTAGTGCCTTAAGCCAAATTCTGTGATGCAAAATCATATTGCAGAGGTGGGAGCTGCTTTTCCTTTTTCACTTTTCAGCTCTGTTCTTTTCAGTATTTTACTGAAATCCATTGCTCTCATATGATTTGGAGGTGATGACCTCTTTGTACCCTTGAAAACCAGCAGATTTACCATCCTATCATCCCTTCTTGGCTTCCTAGGCAAGTGGAAAAGAGACATGGCCACTATAATTAAATACTTTGGGACTGAAGGAATAGAGATGATTTGTACCTCTACCTTGAGCAGAAAAGAGGCCTTTGAGTCTGTTTTAGAAAAAGCAATGGGATTGCAAGCAAA